CTTGATCTGCATCTTCCAGAACTCAAAGTCCGCACCATCGAACTTCTCAATTTTCACCTTTCCTTCATCTGCAGCCATCACTCCAACTCGGATCTGATTTTTCTGGATCGTTTCTGACAATTTCTGTGAACTACCGTGTTTCGGAACACGTCTGTAGATAATTTTGTAGCACCGACAAATTTTTTTTACTATTCACGGAATAGTAAATTCACTATTCATATGAATAGTGTCACCACAAAAATTGCAGAGTTAACAACCAGCTCTGATACCAGTTATTAAGAAAAATACACAGAACTTTTTCATGTAGTCAGATCTGTGAAAGTGAAATAAAAACAAAATAAAGATGGAATAATTAGACACACCAATTGATAACGGAGTTTGGCCAAAATTGCCTACGTCATCGGACTACTGCAGATATTTTACTGGGAGAAAAGAAAATATACAGATGTTTACAAAACACTCGCAACCCTCAACCCAATTATACCCAGAAGCTAGATTATTTTCTTTCTTCTTCTTACTGGCTAACTCATGTAATGATTGCTTGGGGAATTGGATGATCAAAATGAGTGAAGCAAAAGAGCATTTTATAACAAAATGAATGGTTCTTGTGCAACCATTTGCCAACCAACCACTTGCCACCCTTTTTTTACTTTTCAAACACCAACACTAAAAACTTCTACGATGAAGTAACACTAATATGCAATGCTACTAAAGAAGCATATGCACCACCTTTGTTAAGCAAGGTCTTGTGCTTTCCTTTCTCTTCAATGACTCCATTTTTAATCACTACAATTGAATCTGCATCCTTTATGGTGGATAACTTGTGAGCCACCACAATAGTGGTTCTGTCCACACTCACTCGGTCAAGTGCATCCTGTACCACTCTTTCAGACTCAGCATCAAGTGCACTGGTGGCTTCATCTAGCAATAATATTTTTGGACTCTTAACTATGGCTCTTGCAATTGCCACGCGCTGCTTCTGCCCTCCAGATAGTTGAATCCCTCTCTCCCCCACTAATGTATCATATCCCTGTATATGTATAGATATGATGCTAGTGATTCAAAATTGTACAGTATAAATTTTTATTGAATATTGTGTTGGTTACCTGCTGCAAACTGCTGATGAACTTATGCGCATTTGCCAGTTGTGCTGCAGCTATAATTTCAGCTTCTGTTGCATCACCACCTTTTCCATATGCAATATTGGCTCGAATGGTGTCATTGAACAATACAGGCTCCTGGCTTACCAGACCCATCTGCTGCCTGAACCATTTAAGTTGTAGCTTTTGGATTTCTGTTCCATCCAGTGTAATCTGACCCGACTCTGGTTCATAAAATCTTTCTAACAATGAGATCACTGTTGACTTTCCACTTCCACTTTCACCTACTAGAGCAACTGTCTGATTTCCATCAGTATAATCAAACTCTTAGGTTCTTCATTAAGAAAGGTTGTCTAAAAGAATAACGTGTTCCTATGATGATAATTATGCATCAAACAAACAGATTATTTGGCTAGTTACCTCTCCTGCATTAATGATCAAGGAAAGATCTTTGAGTACAATAACATCAGGCCTGGTTGGATACTTGAAAGTGACATGGTGATACTCAATCTTCCCCTTCACTTCTTCCAATGTCATTCCCGACTCATCACTGGGATCTATTCTTGATTTCTGATCAAGAATAGCAAATACAGAAGCAACAGAACTTTTTGCTTTACTAGCAGCTGGGGTCATGAAGCTTGAGTGTGACATTGCTATAGCTGCCATTATGAGAGCATAAAATACCTGGAAATTAGGAAATTAATTGCTCAATGCCAGAAGAAGGTGATGACCTTATCTCTTAAATTGTCTATGTTCTTTATATTTAAAAATAAAAAGTTCTGTAATTTATTTGAGGTTTAAGCTTATGCCTTAACAACTGAGATAAATAAAACACTTCGAATCTGAAACGGTGACAAAGATAGGAGCATACGACAATAACTTACGCGAAAAACATCTGAGAATGATGCTTTGCCATTCTCAACTAGTCTTGCCCCAGCATAATAACTGCATGCATAAACTGAGAACAGAAGGAAGAGTGATAAACCGAAACCTGTTCCGCTGACTAAACCTTGTCTTATACTTGTCTGGATTGGTCCTACGCATTTCTTCTGGTATAACTCCATCACCTTTTCTTCAGCACAGAAAGCGGCAACAGTTCTGATATTTCCTACTGCATCGTTCGCTACTTGACTTGCTTCCTCATATAGTTTCTGTGTGAAACATACAGAACACAATAAGTCAAACGGTTATTAGTAAATAGTTATAATTAAATATGAAAAAAAATGTACAAATAATATATAAACAGATTTATGGAGAATTGAGATCACAGTTGAAACACAGTTTATCCCCTCCATTGAATTTACCTTTGGATCTAGCCCAAAGGAAATACACATTCAATTAATTGACTTTGTACAATGGTTGTCAGATTACTTCCTTTCATATAATATTTATATCAAAAGTTTACCATAACCCTTTTCACATTATGGCCAAATGTGTGAAAATTTGATATTTTTTCAAGGTTCCGTGCTAAATATAGCCAATAGTTTGATATCAGTAAGGCACAAACCTTTGCATCGGTGCGGAATCCTTGCATGGACTTTATTTGCACATATCCATTTAGTAATACTAGAGGTACCAAAGCAAGAATGATGAGAGAAAGCTGCCAGTTTGCGTCAAATGCAATCGCCAAAGCTGTAATTGCAGTAGCAATATCTTGAACCAGCAAACCAAGAGCATCCCCAACCAAAGTTCGAATAGAAGCTGCGTCAGTGGACAGCCTTGCTCCAAGTGCTCCACTTGAATTTTCAGCTTTATCAAACCAGCCTATTTCCATGTTAATTATTTTCTCAAAACACATCAGCCGGATCCTTTTTATCAACTTAGAACCAGCTACAGAAAAAAAGTAGGACCTTAATGGAATAAATATGAAGGCACCCACACTAAGAGCAACCAATATTAGTGCCCAGAATTTGGAGTCTTTCCGGAGATCATCTGCAGGCTCAAAGAAAGTATTTATCATGTGGGAAACAAGAAGTCCCATAGTGGGTAATATTGCACCAGTTGCTGCTGCTGCTAGAGTCCCCATGAGTAACACAATGATTTCTGGTTTGTTTAGATAAGCAATGCGGACCAGTGAAACTTCTTGAGGTTTATGCCATGCTGCTGAAGGAAGAACATCAGGCCCTTTTAATGTTTCAGAGAGGTCCAGTGTGATTGGCATAGCATTAGATATTCTAAAAGAGTGTTCACTATTGTTTCCGCTTCCAGATGATCCCTGGCTTAAAGATTGAGAGATAGAAAATCGTTGGCTCAATTGTTGTTGAGAACCTAAGTTTTCTGGCCAGCATGAGTCGTTTGAATCATCCTGTTTTGACTCCCTTTTGATTTCTTGCAATCTAATGAGCTGGCTAAAAGCTCCATTAGGATCTTCCGTGAGTTCAGCATATGTGCCTAATCAGTTGAAAGGCATATAAGAAAGCAGAAATGTATATGTCAAGAAAATTGAGGACGTCTGTGGGGAGAGACTGTCTTGAAAGCAATTGTTATACATATTTCAATTCCTTGCCAACAGAGCATATCGGAATATATACCTTTTTCTTTTACTTTTCCTTGATCAATAACTGCAATCATATCAGCATTCCTGATTGTGCTTAAGCGATGGGCTACAATGACACTTGTTCGGTTTATCATAATACTGTCAAGTGTCTCTTGCACCACTCTCTCTGATTCTACATCAAGAGAACTCGTAGCTTCATCAAGAAGAAGAATTCTTGGGTCCTTCAGAATTGCTCTTGCTATTGATATTCTTTGTTTTTGCCCTCCCGAAAGTTGAGTCCCACGCTCGCCGACCATCGTATCAAGTCCCTAAACACAACAAAATTATACAAAACTAATGAGATAACGTGTCTCATACTGAATAAAGAAAATTTCAAAAGATTAAAGATGAGTCGTGAAGTCACATGGGGAAATTTATCTATGAACTTAGAAGCATTAGCAAGTTCAGCTGCAGCTCTGATTTCTTCATCTGTTGCCCCAACCTTACCATACGCAATATTCTCTTTAATGCTGCAAGTAAAGAGAGCTGGTTCCTGGCTGACAAGGCCAATTTTCTGTCTGATCCATTTCAATTGAAATTCTCTGAGGTTGATACTGTCAATGAGAACTTCACCAGCTTGTGGATCATAAAATCTCTCAATTAAACTAATAACAGTTGATTTCCCACTCCCACTTTGCCCTACCAAAGCTGCAGTAGTGCCACTTGATATTGAAATTGAAAATCCATTGAATATGTGTTCATCAGGTCTGGATGGATAACTAAAGCAGACCTCCCTGAGTTCTATATCTCCAGAAATGTCATCTACCTGTCGACAACCAGTGTCATAAGCATCAATATCCGGCTTCCGATTTATTGTTTCAAACATTTTGAACGCAGCAGCTTGTCCTGCAGCAAATGCAGTTAAGCTTGGAGATGCCTGCCCCAGACGCCTGCAAAATTTAGCTCAGAAAAAAAGTCATAAAAGTCGCGTGCTAAGCTTTGAAGAGAGGTTGAAAGATATAGATTGATGCATTCACAATATAGATGGTACAACAGAAGCAAACTTACGAGGAACCAGACAATAATGGCAAAAGTACACTAAAGACTTGTCCTCCTGTATAACCTTTCTCTAGTACCATCTTCCCTCCAAACCATATTGCCAAAGCGTAAGTGCAGATTGAAAGTAATTGAAATGAACCCAGGCCAAAACCACTAACCACACCCTCTTGCACTCCAAGTCTGTAAGCTTTAGTCAAGTATTGATTGTATTGAGCTATAGCTTGTTTCTCACCTGTAAATGACGCAACCTGCATGGCAAGAACGCAGACACTACTCTATTGCAGCGTGGAAATAAAAAAAAAAAAAAGTAAGATTGTATACATTTCAGAATGTAAGCATACAGTTCGAATTGAACCAATGGTCTGCTACACTACTGTTGCTGCTTCAGAATAAGCTGCTTGTCCGCGAGATGCCTTCTTAGCAAAAGCGAAGTTCATTATGGAACCCGAGAGGACAAGAAGAAGAAGAGAAGATAGAAGGACAAGGCTTAGAAGCCAACCCTTGGTGAAGGCTATGATTATGCCACCTAAAAAACTTGACATATGCTGAATGAACTTTCCTAACTGAGACATCATCGAAAAAAGAGAACTAAAAGTTATTTCCAACCATAGCTTGATGAAATTGTATTAATATGGGATTTGGAGTGTGGTTCATTAATACCTTCTCTCCCATGGCTTCTTGAATAAGAACTGTGTCCCCTGACATCCTTCCAACAACCTCTCCACTTGTGGTTTCCTTGTCAAAGAAGCTGATATCTTGTCTCAAAATTGCTTTGAGGTACAAGGCTCTAATTCTTGCAGCTTGTCTGTCCCCAGTGATCACCCAGCAAGACACCTCTGGAAGATTGCACGCATGTGTCGCTGAGTAACTCTTGTTATATTATGTTAAGAAAAATTAAATTTCTAGAAATAAAGTAAGCACAATTAGCTGAGAATTTGGCATGCTTACGCAGGAATGCTGCTAAAAAGGCACCTGCACCTATGGATGCAAACTTTAGAGACACCTGAGAATGAAACGAAACTTGAGGGGTTATAACATGGAAAAAAGGAGACCTTCAAATCCAAATTGTTCTTATCTAACTTATTTCTTGCAAAATCATATACCTACAGGCTACAGTCTTTCCACTTATTTGGTCGCAACAAAGATGTGAGACAACTTACGGTGGAATGCTGTACAATTCATTTTCATGAGAAAATACTATATGGTCCAGATCATCATGTGGCCATGTTCAATCTCTTCATGATACATGTAGCTGAGTTTTTAATTTATGATAAAAGGTTAATCAAATTCAGCTACAAGGACTCGTTTTCATTTTGGGGCTTTCATAACTTGTATACTTAAGCATCTTTCTGTAACACTTAGTGAGTGTGCAAAACTGAAATTTATCATATAAGTATTTTGCTCCCTTCTTCTTTTCATTTGAATGTTTGCTCTGTTCAGTCCTACAACATGTTACTGTTGTTTTTCCTAACAAGTTTTCTAATCATTCCATCTCACGCTATTTTCATGCTTTCTTTCGTATTGAAATTTCACTACATTCACTATTAAGGAAGGGGAGCTAAGCATTACCTTGGAAACTTCATGAACTACTTCTTGTGTATTATTAGTATGTCTTCCGAATGCATCAATAGCATCTCCAATAAATGAAGTCATTAAAGGCAGACAGATTCCATTAGAAACAGCACTTATTGCCCCAACAATCATCAGAAAATAATCCCAAGGATGTGCAAATGAGAAAAGTTTGTGAAAGGGAACAGTTTTATTGATTTCATCCTTCACCTTGTTTTTCTTGGAATCATGCTGCCTGCCAACAATTTTTTGTTGGGTATTTTCAGTACCTTGAACTGGTGGATGATCACTCCTTGATCCTCTCATCTCAGTTGAAGTCATATCTGCATCCAAGAAAAGCCTCTCTTGGTTTACAGCTTACAGCACACTACACCACTGAAAAACAGCTGCTGAAGAAATCACTGGTTTGAGTCACTACTCAGGTTGAACAAGATGTCGCGCACTTCAGTGGTTTTCTGTCTTTCATTAATAACAAAGGAAGTATTTTTATTTGTCTCTGATCAACTGTAAATAATCTGAATGCAAAACTTGATCTTGGAATGAAATCCAAAAGTCTATGTCGCACTAACTTTAAGCTGGAAGCTCAGGTTGTACATTAACAATGAGAAAGTTCAAGTTGTATCTATTTCTTGAGATTATTATAAACATACACTATTTTTTTTTTTGTCTCGTTTTCATGAAAAATTGTTTAGTTCAATAATTTCCAGGATCCTAACTAATATTTAGGAGACAGGTGACCATGAAATTTTAATCAATGAACGCATTATTGGCTCATCAACTCAATTTTAATCTACAATTCCACCTCAGTTTTGTTTTTTCTGTTACCTTACGCTGTTTAAGCTTTCCATCTGACCCTGAAACTTGGGATCGCGTGATGTTAGCTAAATAGAATGATACCTACGAGATGGTGTCTTTTCCCAATGTCATTATCTAAAAGGACATCTTTCTTGATCACACTTTACATGCATATACGTACATTGATTGTTAGAAGAAAAAAATTGAGAAAAATGAGTTAAATATGTTATCGTCTCTGTATAGTGACAAAATTTGTTTTGTAAATAAAACGGGCGGGACAGCTACGTCTTACTAAATTAGGAGAAACTGTATAAAATTTATGACTGTACATGACAACATGTTTGTTTTTTAAAATCAGTTAATGTACTAACTAAATATATATTTAGAAAATCATCGCATTATAGTTTAGAATATCAATATTACTGAAATTTGTTCCAAATTTAAGCAGAAAATAAAGTTAAATTAAATTATTTAATGTTAATATAATTTAGCATATATTAATTTAAGAAATTATTATACTTTTTCCTTGGCATAGTTTTTCATGAGTTTCGGGTAATATTCATGTGTTATTTTTAAAACATATCTGCACAGTTAGAACTACATTAATGATGATAAGATGTGTAACCGTTAAATCCATTAAAAATTGGCAATCTGGGCTTTAGAATGTTTCATTACACAAGAATAATGCCTTAAAGAAAAGATTGACATGCCATCGGTAATTTGGTGCAATGAACCAAAAGGGTCTATGACGAAGAAGCACTAATATGCAGTGCTACTAAGGAATCATATGTACCACCTTTGTTGAGCAAGGTGTCGTGATTTCCTTTCTCAGCAATGACTCCATTTTTAACCACTGCAATTAAATCTGCATCCTTTATGGTGGATAACCTGTGAGCCACCACAATTGTGGTTCTATCCACCCTCACTCGATCAAGGGCATCCTGGACCACTCTTTCAGACTCAGCATCAAGTGCACTGGTTGCTTCATCGAGTAGTAATATTTTTGGACTTTTCACTATGGCTCTCGCAATTGCTACCCGCTGCTTCTGCCCTCCAGATAGTTGAATCCCTCTCTCCCCCACTAATGTATCATATCCCTGTATATGTATAGATATGATGCTAGTGATTCAAAATTGTACAGTATAAATTTTTATTGAATATTGTGTTGGTTACCTGCTGCAAACTGCTAATGAACTTGTGTGCATTTGCCAGTTCTGCCGCAGCTATAATTTCAGCTTCTGTTGCATTACCACCTTTTCCATATGCAATATTGGCTCGAATGGTGTCATTGAACAACACCGGCTCCTGGCTTACCAGACCCATCTGCTGCCTAAACCATTTAAGTTGTAGCTTTTGGATTTCTGTTCCATCCAGTGTAATCTGACCCGAATCTGGGTCATAAAATCTTTGTAACAGTGAAATCACTGTTGACTTTCCACTTCCACTTTCTCCTACTAGAGCAACTGTCTGATTTCCATCAGTGTAATCAAACCCTTAGATTCTCCTTTAGGAAAATTTTGTCTAAAAGAATCAAATGTTCCTATCATGAGATTTATGCATCAAACAAACAGATTATTTGGCTAATTACCTCTCCTGCGTGAATGGTCAATGAAAGATCATTGAATACAAGAACATTAGGCCTGGTTGGATACTTGAAGGTGACATGGTGGAACTCAATCTCTCCCTTCACTTGTTGCAATGTTATTCCTGACTCATCACTGGTATCTATTCTTGATTTCTGATCAAGGATAGCAAATACAGAAGAAGCAGAACTTTTTGCTTTACTTGCAGCCGGGGTCATGAAGCCAGATTGTGACATTGCTATAGCTGCCATCGAGAGAGAAAAAAATACCTGAAAAGTAGGAGACTTATTGGTCAATGCTAGAAGAATGCGATGGTCCTAGCTCTTAAACCATTTTTTTATTTAAAATATAACAAAAAAAAAAAACAGTTTTCTATTTTATTTTAGATATTAGCTTAGTGTACTTTTTCAGCACAATTGAGATAATCAGGTGTGTAAAAATTTCATATCTGAGATGGTGACGATGATAGGACAATAACTCACGCGGAAAACGTCTGAGATTGATGTTTTGCCATTCTGGACAAGTTTTGCCCCAGCATAAAAACTGCATGCATAAACAGAGAACAAAAAGAACAGTGATAACCCAAAACCTGTTCCGCTGACTAAGCCTTGCCTTATACTTGCCTGGATTGGTCCAGCACATTTCTTCTGGTATAATTTCATCACCTTCTCTTCAGCACAGAAAGCGGCAACTGTTCTGATATTCCCTACAGCATCATTCGCTACTTGACTTGCTTCCTCGTATAGCTTCTGTGGAACATATAGATCATTCGGCAAATAATATTACTATTAGGCCTCCTACATAAACATTTAATAGAAAATAAATTGAATTGAACTTTTTCTGTCAGTAAAAGCAACTTGTGCGGGAACTTTATTGTCAAAAATTATTACCTCACATTTTTGTACAACGTTTCATGCTAGTAACAATAGCTTGATATCAGTAAGGCACTAACCTTTGCATCTTTGCTGAATCCTTGCATGGACTTCATTTGCAGATGTCCATTTAGAACTACTAGAGGTACCAAAACAAGAACTATAAGAGAAAGTTGCCAGTTTGCGTCAAAGGCAATTGCCAAGGCTGTAATTACTGTGGCAATATCTTGAACCAGTAAACCAAGAGCATCCCCAACCAAAGTTCGAATAGAAGCTGCATCAGTTGACAGCCTTGCTCCAAGTGCCCCACTTGAATTTTCAACTTTATCAAACCAGCCTACTTCCATGTGAATTATTTTCTCAAAACACTTTAGACGGATCCTTTTTATCAACTTAGAGCCAGCTACACCAAAAAAGTAGGACCGTAATGGAAGAAATATGAAGGCACCCACACTAAGGGCAACAAATATTAGTGCCCAAAATTTTGAGTCCTTTTGGAGTTCATCTGCGGGCTCAAAGAAAGTATTTATCATGTGGGAGAGAAGGAGCCCCACGATGGGCAGTATTGCCCCTGTCACTGCTGCCGCTAGTGTCCCCATGAATAACAATGGGATCTCAGGTTTGTTAAGATGAGCAATGCGGAGAAATGAAATTTCTTTATGTTTATGTGATGCTTCTGAAGGAAGAACTCCAGACCCTCCTTCTGATGTATCAAAGAAATCTTGTGTGGTAGGCAGCAGATTTGATATTCTGAACGAGTGTTGACTGCTGTTTCTTCTTCCAGATGATCCCTGGCTTAAAGATTGAGGGAAAGAAAACCGGCTCGATTGTCGTTCAGAATCTACAATGTCTTCTGGTCTGCTTAAGTAATTTGCATCATACTGTTCTGACTCCCTTTTAATTTCTTGCAATCTAATGAGCTGACTATAAGCTCCATCAGGATCTTTAGTGAGCTCAGTATGTGTACCTAGTCAATTCAAACAATAAGCATGCCACAATGTATATATGTCAAGGAAAATTGAATGCGTGTGTTCGAGGAGAGAATGACTTGAAAACGGATTTGTTATACTAGTTTCATTTCTTGGAAACATAGTACGTCTACCTTTTTCTATAACTTTTCCTTGATGAATAACTGCTATGACATCAGCATTCCTTATTGTACTTAAGCGGTGGGCCACAATAACAGTTGTTCGGTTTATCATAATTCTGTCAAGTGTCTCTTGCACCACTCTCTCAGATTCCGCATCAAGAGCACTTGTAGCTTCATCAAGGAGCAGAATTCTTGGGTCCTTCAGAATTGCTCTTGCTATACATATTCTTTGCTTCTGACCTCCAGAGAGCTGGGTTCCATGCTCTCCAACCATTGTGTCAAGTCCCTAAACTCATAATTTTACAAAACTAATGAGATAAATCAGCCTCTTACCAAATACACACATAGACACGCCAAATTTAAAAGGATGAATGATGAATCGTAAGCTCACATGTGGAAATTTATCTATGAATTTAGCAGCATTGGCAAGTACAGCTGCAGCTCTGATTTCTTCATCTGTTGCCCCGTCCTTACCATACGCAATATTCTCTTTAATGCTGCAAGTAAAGAGAACCGGTTCCTGGCTGACAAGGCCAATTTTCTGTCTGATCCATTTCAATTGAAATTCTCTGACGTTGATACTGTCAATGAGAACTTCACCAGCTTGTGGATCATAAAATCTCTCAATTAAACTAATAACAGTTGATTTCCCACTCCCACTTTGCCCCACTAAAGCTGCAGTAGTGCCACTTGATATTGAAATTGAAAATCCATTGAATATCTGTTCATCACGTCTTGAAGGATAACTAAAGCAAACCTCCCTAAGTTCTATATCTCCTGATATATCATCTAGCTGTTGTCCAGAAGAGTCATAAGCATCAATATCTGGCTCTCTCTTTATTGTTTCAAACATTTTAAAGGCAGCAGCTTGTCCTGCGGCAAATGCAGTTATGCTTGGAGATGCCTGCCCTAGAGACCTACAAAATGAAAGTAGCCAATAAAAATGTATGAAATTTTCCTGCCATGCTTTGGAGAGAGGTTGTAAGATATGAATTAATTCATCCATTTACAATGTATATGGTAAAGCAGAGCCTAACTTACATTGAACCGGTCAAAACTGCAAAAAATACACTAATGACTTGTCCTCCCGTATAACCTTTCTCTAGTACCATCTTCCCTCCAAACCAAATTGTCAAACCATAGGTACAGTAAACAAATAAACGAACTAAACCAAAGCCAAAGCCACCAGCCAAACCTTCTTGCACTCCAACTCTGTAAGCTTTAGTTAAGTATTTATTGTACTGAGCTATAGCTTGCTTCTCGCCAGTAAATGATGCAACCTGCGTTGGAGCAATGTGTATCTTTTATGGACTACTCTCATGCAACGTGAAAAAGATAAACAATGGAAAGTGCATTCTGAAGGTTGGCATACAGTTCGAAATGAACCAATTGTCCGCTCCACTACAGTTGCTGCTTCAGAATAAGCTACTTGTCCTCGGGATGCCATCTTTGCAAAAGCAAAACTCATTATGGAACCAGAGAGGACAAGAAGAGGAAGAGAAGATAGTAGCACAAGGCTTAGAAGCCAACCCTTGATGAATGCTATGACTATACCTCCAAAAAAACATGCTACATACTGGATGAATTTTCCTACCTGAGATATCAGCCAAAAGAAAAGAAAATAAAAGAAAATGTTAACTTCGAAGTTTGTTTCTATCATAGTCCGATGAAAGAGTTTAATTTCTAGGCTCTGTTAAAAACAAATATTGTTAATAGGAAATCCTTGAGTTTTTGCCAGGGGAGCAACACTAGGCCTGTGTTCATAAATAGGACTCAAGTAACCATATAAAAAAATATGATTTCACTTTCAACCTAAAACTTTAAGATAATATTCCAACCTTTAAGTAGTTATTGAAAAAGTAAAAAAAATATTGAATTTTTAAGAAAAGCAGCGAATTAATTGCTTTACAAAAACTGAGCCAAACTGTTGGAGAACCAAACTGAACTACAAAAACTAATACGCAGAGCGAAAAGAAAATACTTTGGTTCAGTAAGAAAACAATTTAATTCAGTTAAAAATGTTCTTGATCTCGAATTTGTGAAACAGTAGGCCGAACCAAAAAGTTTGATTCAGTTTGGACAAATTGTTTCAGTTCATATTTTTATGATTCAAATGTAATTCAGTTCAGTTCAACTCTTCTGGATACGACTACCATACATACAAATTTGTAATTGAATAATAGTATAAAAATATTTATACTCTTGATGATATGGTAACGATTAAGGACTTGAAGACTGGTCCATCAATACCTTCTCTCCCATGGCTTCCTGAATAAGAACTGTGTCACCTGACATCCTTCCAACAACCTCTCCACTGTTGGTTCCCTTGTCAAAGAAGCTGATATCCTGCCTCAAAATTGCTTTGAGGTATAGCCCTCTTATTCGTGCAGCTTGTCTCTCCCCAGTGATCACCCAGCAAGACACCTCTAGAAAATTGAAGTATGTATAACTCTTGCTATTGTAATATTAAGCAAAATTACATTTCTGGTTATGCAATAAGCATAATTAGCTGAGACTTTGTCATACTTACGGAAGAATGCTGCAAAAAAGGCACCTACGCCTATGGATACGAACATCAGAGATGCCTGAGCAAGAAACAAACTTGATGGCTTATGACATGGAAAAAAGGAGAAATTTGAATCCAAATTTTTCATCTCACACATATTCTTGTGAAATCAATGAGTACTGCACATCTCATTTTATCTCATCTCACACTATTTTAATATTTTCCTCAACATTGACATTTCACAAGTTTGATTTTTAACGAAAGGGAGCTAGGCATTACCCTGGATACTTCATGAACTACTGCATGTTTGTTATCAGCATTTCCTCCGAAAGCATCAATCGCATCTCCAATTAGCAGAGTCATTAAAGGCATAGCGATTCCATTAGCTAAAGCACTTATTGCCCCAACAAGCATGAGAAGACAATCCCAGGCGTCTGCAAATGAGAAAAGTTTGTAAAAGGGTACTGTTTTATTGCTTTCATGCTTCACCTTGCTCTTGTTGAAATCCTCCTGCCTGTCATCCATTTCTTGGGTATTTTCAGGACCTTGAACTTGTGGGTGATCAGATGTTGATCCTCTCATCTCAGTTGAAGTCTTATGTGCATCCAAGCTGGCCTCAGCGGCCATTTCCCCAAGGAAAACCGTTCTTGGTTCACAACTTAAAAACACCCCTAGAAAAAAGCTGCTGAAGAAAGATCGCTGGTTTGAGTCAGCAACTCCCTTTTAGCTTCTCCATCCGCTTGAAGTGCCTTATAATTCCTCAGATGTCAAAAGCTGCAAAAGTAGTTGACTTAACCAAAGTCAACAATAAAGCGAATAAAAATTGAAGGGTGTCAAAAAAAAAAAAAAAATGTTCGCAGGGAACTCAGAATTGAGCAAAAAGAATTAAGGTGCAAGGTATACTTGCAAAACCAAAACCAACATACTTGATCAAAGCACGCTCAACATGAAAACAACATACATCAGAGTAAAACAAAGGTTTCTTATTCGTGTCGTTGTCATTGTCATTTTGCCAACGAAGTAAAAGCCACCAGAAACGAACCTTTTTGCAAACAGGGGGCAGAAATGCTTCCAGCGTTCTGAGAATGCTGCAAAGTAGCACTATAAAACAACAGGGGAATGAAGGAAAACTACAAGATTGATGAAAACCAGTTGGCAGTAGCCCACTACTGCAAGTTAACTAGGCTCCTCTCTTTAAATCACGAGATAAAGCAAAAGAACAAAACAGAATTAGATGCCCATTACCCAAGATAATAGTTTATGTACGGTTTAAATGAATCATGGAACAAGCTCTCTGATATGAACATCACACGTGGAGTTTATAATCATTCCAAAACTAAATTTAAAGTATGAGCAATGTTCTAAAAGCACTGGTTAAAAACAGTACAATATATAAATATAAAGTATAACAAATTGAAAACTAAAAAACATGTTGCTTGTTAATTAATATTCAAAGATAGTTGTTAGCATTTGGCGTAATAAAACTTTGATTAAATATCAAGTATAATAGTATCGTAGATTATCCAAGAAAAATTTCTCTTATATTTACACTTGGTATTAGCGAAGAAGATAGCACGATTAATATTGGTATTTCATAAACCTAATCAATATTTCCTTAAATTTGAATTTTCAATGACTTTTCATCCGTCCACTGGAAGTGGTTACTTTTCTTCAACAAGACATATATATAACTAATTCTTATTATATATTTGATGGAAGACATATATCATCACTATACAAAGTGATATATGAGTCGGCATAAAAAATTAATTAATCATAATTCATTAATAACAAAGTCAAAACTCTATTCATTGCGATGGACGATTATATCAACTCCAAAGAATCTGTGCAAGATTATACACATCATGAAAAATGAAGTATCAAAGTGTTTGTTGACATCTTGAGATTGTAGTTTTCTTTTATCGCTCTCAAACTCATGTTTTGTTTTATTTGGGTAGAATCACGAGATCATATAATTGAACGTAATTTATACTTATTCTCTTTTAATGTATTGAGAAGTATTTTAAAAATAAAATTTTTACAAAAATTTCACAATAAACATGATGTGGGAGCCTTTGGAAGACGGATGCTGATTGAAATGTCTATATAATTTAAGAAGGTGGCAATGAATAGAGGAACACATGGTATGATTAAGAAGTGATAAAAGTAATGAGTAGCTGCAGCTCCTACTTTTGTTTTTATTTTCGTCCTTTTTGGCACTCTCTTGACGCTTCACTTGGGGACCGCATCGTGATGCTTGCCTCGAATTGTGTCCATCATGTCCTTTTCCAAATCTCATTATTTTATATCACAATAAAACCAATTATCCTCTCATCCTACACTGTTTACATGCATAATATATAAACCCTATTTTTTACGTACAATCTTTGTTCTCGTATAATATATACCATTTTTTTGTTTGGTCAATATGCTACTCTGTTTTTTTAGGCTGGGACGGCTACTTCTACCACCTTTTACGCAACAATTTATCGCATGAACCGTGTCCCAATTTTATACTCATCTTTAGTTTGAGTTTCAATATATATATATATACCATTCAATTAATTTCTTGGTAAAAACTGTATTATGTTAGATTAATACATAAATAAATAAAATAGTATAATATAACTATTTCATATGATACTGAAGAAAATTTATTATGCATCTTGCTTTTGTAAAACAACCTTATTATAACATAGATAAATACATAAGAAAGGTTAAAAAAAAACAAAAAATTGAGTTGCGTAAGCAGTGACAAGAGTTGTACATTGTCTTATGTCATTTGCCAAAAACTTTGATTCATATACCAACTCACTTTGTTGACTAGCTCATTTTCATAATAATAATAATAATAATAATAATAATAATAATAATAATAATAATAATATTATTATTATTATTATTATTATTATTATTATTATTATTATTATTATGAGAGCAGTTATTTATTTTCGGATATTTTAATAATATTAGAAACGACAAATCGGGTTGAAACAGCTATTTAAAAAGTAGGGAGATTGATTGATAATTTTAATGTGTTGGTTTGGTCTCATCTTATTTAATTCATCAATTCGACAAGTTAAAGATAACATCAGAATTAAAATTAAAAAAATATATAATTTAAAATATTATATATTTTATCATATTATTAAAATATATAAATATATGATAAATTATAAATATTAACTAAATAAATATAAATGATTGTAATTAATTATTTTAACATATAAGTATAATAACTATTTAATTTTTTTAATAAAAATATTAATTAATAAATAAAATTTAAAAATTATTTATATAATTAAATACAAATTTTTTTTAAATACATATAAAAAATTATATAAATAAAAATAGTCACATATTGTTCTATTAACCCATGCATACATCATCATTTAATAAGACAAATTGATATTTATAATTTATTCTAAGTATAATAAATCAGTCTACTCTATATTATTATATTTAGGAGATGAATTAATATAATTCGTTCTAATTATAATAAATCAATCTATTGTATACTCTTTTTTTCAGAGACTAAAAACGAACCGCAACAAAATTGATACTATTTATACAATAATACAATTATTTCGTGGTTAGATTGATTAATTAATTATAAAGAGAATGGTCCCATGGAGTATGTACGGTATATATGATTCTCTCACAATCTATTATTTAAGTTTAGTTGAATACCAACTCTTGTAAACACAACCTAAACTTGTACATTATTCAGACACATATTCTTGTTTCCTTCTACCTTTCTTTTTAACAACTCTTAACCTTATACATAAATAATAATCATTTTTTTTCAATCATCTTCATTTTTGCCACTATTATTATATAATAAAACAAGTTGAAAGTATTTCAAGTTACGAGAAGATCATCCCGTTAAAGTATGTTTTCTAAAGTGTTCGTGATTACGAAATCTTACACATGTTGGAACTTTTTCCTGTATTTGTTTCGAGTTCTACAATGCTTCATAATTTATTCTTTTTACTAATTCTATGGATGAATCTCCATACCTAATTCTTTTTTAATTTTAAAATTTTATCTTCAATCTAAATATTTTCCACGGGATACTATTTTATTTTGTTCTTCGTCGGAGAAACTCTTTCTTATATATTTTTAGGATTTATTATTAGTTGATCAATATTTTCATATTGTGAGGAAAATTTTCTTCTTTAGAAAAGAATATTCCAACCTTCATATTATTAAACAATTTTTTTCCAGAAATTGAAAGAAATTTAGAATCTACAAAAATGGATAAATTGATTTGAATTGTTGGTGAAAATTCGACGAACGAAAAATTAATTAATGACAGTGACATAGTAAGATACAGAAGAAAAAATTATTAATTATCAATTCCAAATCACATTCAGTTGTTATTAACAATTTAAAAATATCACATTCAAACAAACAGTGAAAAATACATTATCAACGGATTAAAAAAAACATCATCAGATAAGAAGAATTCGGTTTAAGAAGAAATTGAAGGTATTTAAACAAATAAATGCTACAACACCATCCAATGATAAAAATAAAATTTATCAACTCTTTCAACCTTTTTCAGGTTCGGCTTATAATTAAGAGATTCCAATTTTGGTTGATGAGCCAGGTGTGTTATTAAGGTACGAGAAGGTACACATATTAATATTAAGTGAGGGATCTTTACTAAGGGTTAAATAATATATTATTAATAAATAATAAATAAATATAAAAAAAAGAAAGAAAATAAAAAAATAAAAAGATAAAATTGTAGATATATACTTAAATATATTAAATGATCATCAAGTTTGAGAGAAACAAAATCATAAATTATGAGAGTTACAAAACTGAGAAAAGGTTGAGAGAATAAAATTGTAAATATACACATAAATATATTAAATATTCACTAAGTTTGGAGAAACTAAAATTATAAATTACATGGGAGTTATAAAACTTTGAGGCAGTAACCCTCTCAGCTCCCAAGAAAATCAACCACTACACACATTGAAACTTTTTGTCAACTGTTCTTCTGCAGCATCTCACTTATTTGTGATGACATGCTTGGCCATTATCTCCAATTCTAGCAACTTCAGCATTGTCTTTGTTTTGTTGTCTCCATCTACCTAGTTCTTGTGCTTACCAGTTACACATATATAGGAATAAGATTTTGTCAGGGTGTTTCAGTCTTAAAGTACCGAATCAGTTCTCCACACGGGAAATTGTTAAGGAGAAAAAAATTAAGGAGTTTGATATTGTTGGTAACAGGAAAACAAAACAACACTTAATATTGATGCTATTCCAAATGAGTTGTTACAAGTATTTATGGTTAAAATATTTGTCTCTTCAAATCCCAAAAATAAATCATAATACCTATTAAATAGAATTACAACTCATTTGTTATACCACTCATAATTAAAACCATTAATATTATTCTAGGAATATTAAACTTCTAATTTAAGTTTTACAATAAATATCCCCTTAAACTTAAATACTCTTCTCATCTCTTACTCCAATAAACCTTTTACAACTCTCCAGCAGTGTAGTTGACAGTGATTTGGTGAATTTCTTAAAAGTTTCACTTTGAATTTCTTAAAAGTTTCAAACACTTCTGACTTTTACAACTTTGTTTGTTTCTTTCTCCACCA